TAATGTTATATAATACAAGCGTCAAGCCATTGTTTGAATACTGCTGTTCTGTTTGAACCAATTATTATAAACGGGCAACACCTAGAAATTATAAAATCAGCAAAAATTCTGGGTATGACGTTAACAGACGACCTAAAATGGAACAAACATATAGGAATAGTTGTTCTTAAGGCTTCGAAACGACTGTATCTTTTAAAACAATTACGACGTGCTGGTGTTGATAAGAAACATCTAATTGGTTTGTATAATGCGTGTATCAGGTCGATTCTGGAATATGCTTGTGAAGTTTTTCATTCAAGTCTTCCTCCATATCTGTCCGACGATTTAGAACGAGTACAAAGACGTGCAATGAGGATAATTTTTCCTGGAACGAGGTATAAGGAAGCATTGGAACAGGGACATTTACAATCACTTTATGACAGACGAGAATATTCATGTATAAAGCTTTTTGAACAAATTGAACAAGATCCAAGTCATAAATTAAAGAATCTCTTACCTAGTTTAAATACGTCTTTTGACAGCCTTCGAACGATAAGAAAGAATAAACTTCCTTTAATAAAAACAGACCGTTTTAAAAATTCTTTTATACCTAGTCAAGCAGCGAAAGTGACGTTGTAGTTTTTAGCGTAGTAATAGTTTAAGCAACAATGAACTGTAAATAACTTTATATCAATTGTAAATCATTTGTAATTCAGTTATTTTTTGGCTTCGTGAATTGGAAAGTGACGTTGTAGTTTTTAGCGTAGTAATATATTAAGCAAAAATGAACTGTAAATAATGAACTTAGTATTTTATTTCATATCATTTGTAAATCATTTGTAATTCAGCCTTTTTTGGCTGCGATATTTGATTCATGATACTACCTACCTACCTACCTACCTACCTACCTACCTACGTACCTACGTACGTACCTACCTACCTACCTACCTACCTACCTACCTACCTACCTACCTACCTACCTACCTACCTACCTACCTACCTATCTACCTACCTATCTATCTATCTATCTGTTTGGAGCAATTGTAGTCAGGGTAACATCGATGATCTTTTCAAATTGCAAAAACGTTGTGCAAGACTGATTTTGGATAGCCATTCAACATCAAGGTCTTTTGAGAATTTCCAAGAATTAGAGTGGCTCCCAATCGAGCTGGTGTTTGTTATAAAAAAAACTTTGTCTCTTGCGAAAAATTATCAATGGTCAAGCTCCAGAATATCTAACAACGAAATTAACAACTTACCGATTCCAACATCAATATAGTTTGAGAATAAAAATCGAGTATCGTCTTCCAAAGCCTAAAACCAATGCACTGAAAAGAACATTTTTCTTTTCAACATTAAAATATTGGAATACGTTGGGTGAAGAGAAGAATAGTACATTTAAAGTAATGAAATCGAAGTTGCACCATGTCCTCTTTTCCAAATACACAGTTGACAGTTTCAAAGGTCAAAGATTATATTAACTCACATATAAACTTATTATTTTATTAATATTATGATTTATCATCTTTTTATTATTATTTACTAGTTCTTGTCTTGACGATAACATATTTCTGTATTTATTTTGAGGGCCACTAGGGAGAATACGTTACTGTAATTGGTGTTACCCTCGTTAAATAAAGTTTATTGTATTGTATTGTATTGTACTAGAAATACATGCATGCAGCAACCCCTCGCATGTATTTTCCAAACATTGTTTTAACATGAAGTATTAGTAATTGATCAACACTGAACGCAGACTCGCGTTTGCATCAGTGTTGCCATGGCAACACGATAAATTTAATTTTTGTTATATTTTTTGTACAACACGCCAAAAATAGTTGAAAGTTTATTGCTTTTAACTATATAACAATGAATTTCCGAAATATGTACAGTAAGTATGTTGTTCTGCATTTGGTGAGCTTTGATTTAATATAAAATTTTACGTGAATCGCTTCGTAAAATTTTGTGAAATGTTCATTTTAATATTAAACTATAAACTTCTTTTTCCGATATAAAACTGTACGGGTTTTTAGTTTATAAAACAAAATAAGTTTAAATTGTTGAGTAATTCAGTTCGGTTTTGAAATGAATTTGCTCTCCTTTACATTTTACCTTTTATTCCTAAATTAAACAAGGTAATTTAGCAAACTTTAATACAACTTCATTGAAAAGGAGAGCAGTGCATGTTTTACGCAATAAATTAAAGCAATAAAATTAATAAACATTAAACATTCAAAGCAAACTTGCCCTATATTCCACGATTTTCCACAGTAAATCAATTTTTCTCATTTCTTTAACCAAAAATTGCTTCAAAGCTCATTGTGTGAAACGTGATTTTCCAAATATATGCCTTTGAAAATTGAAATCTTAATTGCTTATCCCACTCCTGGCAAACAGCCATATTTTTGAGATCAGTGAGGATGACCACCCACGGTTGGTAAATCACGCCGGCGATCATTGATGAACTTTAGACTTCGCTAATGCTTCCCTTCCCCGTGTGTAAAATGCCGGGGGGAATTAGTACCCTCGCACGGCGCTTCGCGCCGTCGGCTCGGGGATCATTCATATATCAACTTAAGGTTTTTGTTACAAGGAGCGTTTAGAATTATCTGTAACTCAGTTGCTCTAATGATGATTTTGCAATAGATCAAAATATAACCATCGATAAATTTACACCTCGTTGTTCTCCATATACCTGTTGTTCTCTTTTCCGAATTCGAATCGTATTCCAGTTTTCGATTTTCGCCAAATATTGGTGCGCACAGTAGTAGCACAATACATAGTGTTTTTCTCAACACCATTTTCTCGCTTTTGGTGTTTTCAAAAGAACAGGATAGTGGTCCATCAGCCAAGAAGGAAACGCGTCGAATGATTTCTCTGATGATTTAGTATCTAATGTAAAAGATTGTTTGATACTTTGCAGCTGCTGATTCAAAGCAGGTTGCCGTTTATCACTATCAGTACTTGTTTCTGACAGCCATAAACACCGCGTGCTCGCTGGAACAATATAATTTCAAGGAATCAATCCTATAATTTCTAAAATTTTCTTGCAATCAAGAATTAATAATAATCCTTATATGATATTATATGATATTATATTATATTATATTATATTATATTATATTATATTATATTATATTATATTATATTATATTATATTATATTATATTATATTATATTATATTATATTATATTATATTATATTATATTATATTATATTATATTATATTATATATTATATTATATTATATTATATTATATTATATTATATTATATTATATTATATATTATATTATATTATATTATATTATACCGGTATTATATTATATTATATTATATTATATTATATTATATTATATTATATTATATTATATTATATTATATTATATGATATGACTGATATGATATTCTATTCTATTCATATTATATTATATATTATATATTATATATTATATATTATATATTATATATTATATATTATATATTATATATTATATATTATCTATTATATATTATATATTATATATTATGTATTATATATTATTTATTATATATTATATATTATATATTATATATTATATATTATATGTTATATGTTATATGTTGTATGTTGTATGTTGTATGTTGTATGTTGTATGTTGTATGTTGTATGTTGTATGTTGTATGTTGTATGTTGTATGTTGTATGTTGTATGTTGTATGTTGTATGTTGTACGTTGTATGTTGTATGTTGTATGTTGTATGTTGTATGTTGTATGTTGTATGTTGTATAGTGTATGTTGTATAGTGTATCGTGTATAGTGTATTATTATATTATATTATATTATATTATATTATATTATATTATATATTATATTATATTATATTATATTATACCGGTATTATATTATATTATATTATATTATATTATATTATATTATATTATATTATATTATATTATATTATATTATATTATATTATATTATATTATATTATATTATATTATATTATATTATATTATATTATATTATATTATATTATATTATATTATATTATATTATATTATATTATATTATATTATATTATATTATATTATATTATATTATATTATATTATATTATATTATATTATTTATATTTTATTGTTATAATGCCAACGGCAACGCATAAAGAAACACTTCAGTGACAACACTTAGTCTTAGACTGACAGCCGATATATTTTGTTACCTCTGCCAAAAAATAGCCAAGTATACTCATCTTTCAATGTAGCGGATCGACTGAACATCTAATTAAATCATGTGATGAGAAAAGTGAATTTTCGGTTTATCCTTCGGCTCAGTGGACAGTGACCAGTGGCAGTGAGCTGTGCGGCCGGCTAAGTTTAAACCGTTATACAGTATATCATTGACTGCTTTCATTCTTTCAATCCGTTTTGAATATTCGGAATCATTCACAATATTATAAAACTGTATAAGATAGCTGTAGAACTATAAATGCTGTAGAATGAAATAAATAAAGAAAAGTAAGTTTTATCGCGGTATTTGCCGATAAATCGGTAATCGCTACAGAAAAACAGAACAAATTACAGAAAATCACAAGAAACGGCGGAAGTGGGACCATTTTTGTATTTTTACTGTAAGACATGCAGAACATGTACGTGTGTGTATTCTATACTTTTGAAACAACTATTAAATCAGAATTCGGAAAATTTGACCGTATTAAAGCTGCTTTTTGAGACATGTAAAACGAAGACCTAAAATCTAAATTCTCAAAAGTAGCTTTAATACTGTCAAATTTTCCGAAGTCTGATTTAGTTGTTTCATAAGTATAGAATACACACACACTTCTGTATGAATTTCGTACATGTTCTGCATGTCTTACAGTAAAAATACAAAACTTGTCCCACTTCCGCGGTTTTGTTGTGATTTACTGTAATTTGTTCTGTTTTTCTGTGGGGATTACCGATTTATCGGCAAATACCGCGATAAAACGTAGTTTTCTTTATTTATTTTATTCTACAGCATTTATAGTTCTACAGGCAGCTAGTTTTATAATATAATAGTGAATGATTCCGAATATTCAAAACGGATTGAAAGAATGAAAGCAGTAATTATGTACTGTATAACGGTTTAAACGTAGGCCGTACAGCACACTGCCCACTGGTCACTGGGCCGAAGGATAAACCGAAAATTCACTTCTCTCCATGACAAGCTTTAATGTTCAGTCGATCCGCTACATTGAAAGATGAGTACTTGGCTATTTTTTGGCAGGGGTAACGAAATATATTGGCTGTTCTCTAAGTGTTTCTTAGTGCGTTGGCCATCGGAATATAATATAACTATACATAAGCTTGATAGACGTAAGATAACGAGTTTCACAGGCACAATCCTATTTTAAATACTATGGTTTTTGGCAGTTTTGCATCATATGTGCAGTAAAAGCCCCATTTATCTACTTCCCCAACGTGTAAAACGCGAAAAAACTTTATTAATATGAACAAAAATTTGTAATAGTAAACAGTGTATTTTATTATAAAGGATTTTCGTTTTTCTACTGCTCCGTATTTCGTATGCTCCGTGCTCCGTGTGCTCCGTGCTCCGTGTGCTCCGTGCTCCGTGTGCTCCGTGCTCCGTGTGCTCCGTACTCCGTGCTCCGTGCTCCGTGCTCCGTGTTTTACTAATAGCCGGCTAGCCCGGTTGCCGGGATGAAAGTTCAAAGATACCGCCGCAAGCTATTTTCAGCAAGTGTCAAAACAACATCAATGTAACAAAATTGTCCCGGCAAGCGGGATGAAATTGGATGCCGATTAAAAGTTCTTTTATGTGCATATACATGTAAATTGGCCCAACTAGCCTCGTTTCTGAGTAGAAATTCCTTTGAAATCTTAACATGAGTACAAGGCTAGTTGGGCCAATTTATATGCACATAAACGATTTTTTAATCGGCAGCCATTTATGAAAAGGGTGTATTCAAATTGCTGAAGCGTTCGTAAATGTAAATCTTCATTTGGCGCTTATTAAAATGTTCCATGGCGGGCTTTGCGCAATACAATATACCCTGACTATATATATGTATATACCCAACCATTAAACACATGTCCGAACGGACTATAACGACTATTAAAAAAGTTCTTGTCATTCGTACAAACTGTTAGGCTGTTGAAGGCTTGAAGCTTGTCAAGACATTCAATTTCTGAAGTCGAAGACAAAGTCGATTTCACACTAAATGTAGCCGGCATAAAAGCTTTATCGCAAGTCGGCTCGATAATCCCAGTTTCCTCACGACATTTCGCTGTATACCAATAGCGTTTAATGCTGTTTCGTGCACGTTCGTTATCGTATTGTCTAGGCTCTAGCTCACAATATATTAAACCGAACTTTGAAGCTTCTCCGTTGCACCGTTTGTTTACCGCAACGCCAGGCGGCCAGGCATGCTTTACACATGCAATTTGTAGATGAAATGAAGAAGGAAAGGTTGTCTAACTCCTTACGTATATACAGTCAAAAGAAATTAATATCGCTTTTATTGGACGGAACTTTGAAGTATATCACCTTTATCACCTTTATCATGGCACATTGTAAACACTGGACTGGACTTTGGACTATCGACTATATGGACTTTGGACTTTCGATTTTGAAATTATAATATTTTTTAGATTTTCGTATATCAGTATATTAAAATCTAAACAGAGAATGAAAATTTGTCCATCCACTAACACTTAGTAACTGAGGCCTGTTTTGTACGTCGAATTTTGGTGAATTAGTTAACATGCACAACTCAACGAAAACGAACGAATATTCAGTTATGTTAATAAGGATAGCTTATTGTATATGTCAAGATTACAATTAAACATGCATGCATATATCAAAACATATATAGTTATTGTTTAGCAAATGGCTATAAGTTGAATAAAAACTATACCGAAGTTTTATATAGTCTTTGGGATGCATGTGTTATTTGGTTTTAGGCATACACATACTTTTTGACATTCTCTGCATGAATAGTGAATATAGCTTACGGTGTAGACCCCAACGTGTTTCTGTTGGGGTCTACACCGTAGGCTATAGTGAATAGCGATGCATATTGCACTTTTCATCCTTGTCTTTATGGAAATATTAAATGCAAGTATATTTTAATAATTAATAATTTATGTCTTTCAACCGTATAGTCACGATGGACGAGTTACATGAGACTGCAACCGCTCCGCAATTTTTATCAGTTGCACTTAATCTTTTACTCTCCGTTTATTTGTGTGTACTGAGTGGGAATATTGAATAATTGTTAGAGGAAGAAAGGTATCTCAGCTTAAATAACGAAGTAAACCATGCATTAATTGTTAACCGCTAATCTGTTACTTCAGCGTTTCTATAAATTATTATTCCTTGCAATAACTGGTGCCCAAGCGAACATCCCAACTCCACCGCGGAGGGAGTTTTGTTTCCTAACTTTGTGAGTTGTGAGTTTAATGGTCCGCACTTTTTCAACGAATTACAGCAATGTCTGCCTGTCAATGTGAACATTTGTTTTGTAGTTTAACATGGGCAAGTGGCGAGTCCTTTCTAAAATATTGAATATTTGACAATGGATTTCGAACAAATTATAATTGTATTGTCCTTGCGAGTATAAGTTCGTCCGCTGTGTAACATCAGTCGCAAATTCATGATGTGCTGTCAGTTGTCTCAACCAATGAGAATTAGCTCGTTTGTTACGGGGAACGGTATGTAATTATAATATTCGTTCAATGTCAGACGATAGGTCATGATGTGCTGTCTCTACCAATGAGCAGGCCAGTTTCTATGCATTTCGACGAACAGATCGTTCGTTTAATGAGGCTATATACGTTCGTTTTCGTTCAGTTGTGCATGTTAACTATTAAGACGATAGATATGATAATGAGATGATAAACCTCATTAAGCGTCATTATCTATTGTTTGAATTGCATTCAATGCGACCAAAATTCGACGTATAAAAAAGGCTGAAGCACTTACATAGTGATAGGGATAGCTAAAGAATGTCTTAGCACTAGTATAAACTATTGTGCAAAAATGAACAATAGATACATAATACAACCAGACACAGTACTAAAATGCGGTGCCCGCCTACAAATAAACCTTCCGGTGTTTCCGCCCACTCGTCCGCCAGTTGGTCCGTACGTTAGGATCAAAACTAGCCTGCGTTTTAAAGCCTTCAAAATAAAATATTTTGGATTCAAAATACTATCAAAATGAAGAGAAAAGTGAGACGAATATACTGGTAGACGGCCGAAAAGAGAAAACCAACGATACCAAAGTTGTTAAGGATCAAACGTACTACATTTTTTATTGGTTTAACAATTTTGAGCGATTTGTCAACAAACAATTTCGCTTATTAAAACTGCATTTTAAGACCTTCAAAATAGACTATTTTGGGCTCAAAATACTATCAAAATGAAGCGAAAAATAAGACGAATCCATTGGTATAAGACTGCAAACAAGAAAACCAACAATACCGAAGTTATCAAGGATCAAACGGACTGCATTTTTAATTAGTTTAATAATTTTGAGCGATTTGTCAACAAACAATATATAGATAGTTTAATGAATCAATATATATGAATATATACACTAGGTGGCAAAAGAATTAGTCCAGTCTCATTTTTTGGCAAAATCCTGAGAAGAGTGCATTTTCTGAGAAATGTACTTGCTTTAGCTACTTGAACATGCACATTGAGATCTGAAATTGTCTCGCATATTTTCTTGGTGAAATATTTTGCAATATATAATTTCAAAACAAGGTTCCTAATCCTCTACACGGATGTGTAGCGGTTTATGAAGAATGGGAGTTAGAGGACAGATTATTACTCATATAATATCATGATTGCGGGTATTCCCTTTGTTCTCGCAGGGCAATTAAAAACTAATACACCTCATTATATTCAGTTTTTCTAATTCTACCCGCTTTTACGTCATGTCAGGTAGGATTAGTTCTAATCCTACCCGATACGACGTCAAAGCGGGTACGATTAGAAAAAATGAATATAAATGAAGATATCTGAAATCGCTAAAACTAAACAAAGACATGGAAAACAATTATACCATTTAATTTATACATTATTTATTGTTAATTGGTTTTTAATGATTGTGACTAAAACACCACACGAGTACATACGAGTAACATACGAGTAACACAACTACATACGAGTAACATACGAGTACATACGAGTAACATATGAGTACATACGAGTAACACACGAGTATATAACATACAAGTACACACGAATAACATACGAGTACACACGAGTAACATACGAGTAAATACGAGTACATACGAGTACATGCGAGTAAAATACGAGTACATACGAGTAAAATACGAGAATTAGCACGTTTTCTTTAAAGTTTCTTTCACTTTCACACTTTCACTTTGGCTTCGTATTATGTTCATGTTGGGAATGCCTTATTGATATTGGCGTACGAGACAGGGGGCGGGGGGGGGGGGCAACTGCCGCCCAAAATTCTGGAAAACCATGGAAATTCGGGCAAATGCTAGGAAAAATCAAGAAAATTCGGACAGATTTTAATGGACCTAATTATTACGGACATACATAAGTTTTACGAAGATCCAGAAATAGCAGCCCCCTCTTGGGACATCTGACCATAGACGAATTGTATGGAGACCAAAAAAATCGAAATCAGTTAGGAAACAAAAAAGGAGAAAAAAAACAGTAACACCTCTGAGAGACTCATCTATACTTCAATTTGAGCAGTTCATTAGAGAATATAATTGGTCATTTGTATTTAATGCTGGCGAAGTCGATGATGGGGTGCGTTTATTCCTTGAGGCAACTAACAACATGTTTGATACCTTCTTTCCTTGTAAATCAATCAAAGTGTATGAGGACGATAAACCATATATCACTGGAAGAATCAAGGAAATGATGCATAATCGCGATAAAGCATACCAAAGTGGACAAGCCGAACGCTTTAAGTATTTACGAAATAAAATTGTATCTGAGATTCGGAAAGAGAAAAATACATTTTACGATAAGAGAATTAAACCGATATGCAGCCATAACCCAAAGCTATGGTGGAAACAGATAAAAAAAAGTTGTTGGAACTAAGCAGGATTCAGTCTCTATTATAGATCCGGAAACTGAAAATCCACTAAGCGCAAAAGAGTCCGCCGAGTATATTAACACCTTTTTCACAGACCTGACTAAGAACTACCCAGAAGTAGTTGACGAGTGGCTGACGATTACAGCAGACGAGACCCTGCCTAAAATCTCTGTGACGAATCTCATAAAGAAATTAAAAGGCATAGATGCCAATAAAGCACATGGGCCATTTGATCCCTGTTTAAAGATAATAAAGTTATTCGCTGAATATTTTGCAGTGCCTTTAGTACATATTTTTAATCAATCCTTCCAAACTATGAAATTTCCGGAAGTTTGGAAAATTTCTAACGTCTGTGCTATCCCCAAAACTACCCCATGTAATAGAGTGGAGGAGTTAAGACCAATTTCCCTGACTAGCGTACTCTCCAAAGTGCAAGAATCGTATGCTGTTGAATGGATCCTTGAGGACGTTCAAGAAGAAATTAGTGATTCTCAATTTGGTGGACTTGCGGGATCTTCAGCTGTTTTGACGTTAGTGTATTTGG